GAGTTCATTTTATGCCATCACCATCAATCACTTTCTTGTCTTAAACATATTCAGACTCAACGAATGGCGGAAGAAACAGATCAAAAATCTGAAGTTGAGATGATGGAACATTCTTGTTAGAAGGTTCTTGTTAGAACAATCTCGGCAAATTCCTCCAGTGTTTATTACAACTCTGTTTTTCTTGAACCGCCCCCCAACCTCTTATGATCAGTTGGAAAAGCAACTCTAGCTGTTTCACGGTGCATTTTTTTTCTTTCTTGCAGCCTTAGTTCTTCAGTCCAATATGTATGGTTCCCGCTTTTCCTGAGTATGAGCGCAAGTTTCTTAGTATTTGTATTTATCGTTGATGCAGTCCATGCGGTATTCTAATTAAGTACTCTCCCTTAGAGTCGTGCCTACCAGTTTAATAATTTAACTTTGCATTTTCATTTTGTCAATCTTAAACCTTCCACACTGGCTCACCGGCAGTACTCCCTTTTGAACAAAGGGGAATATTAAAATTCCTACCTGCAACATGTGGTAATTATTTCCAATACTGCAAGAATGTCCTTTAAAAAAATACTACTTACTGGAAAATGGTGGATTTTAAAATCTTAATTTTCCTCTTACCTTGCACCTTTTCTTCGTTTTCTTGAACCGAAAGTGACCGATGGTCAACTTGTTGGTTTCCATCATCGTTGCCCTTTGATATCTTTATTATTTCGATGGCTTTGTTGTGATTATCTTTCGTTATCGTTTTCCCTTGCCTGAAAATCTGCTACAACCTCTGTGCAGCTGTATTGGACAATTTCATTTTCGTATCAGAATGGGAAGGTACGAGTAAGATTTTTTAAAAGACTCGTTGAAATATTTAAACTAGGTTTATAAAGTTGGGTTAAATTCGCAGCCTGTAAAAATTGCATAAAACATGGCAAAGTCACATGTTCTAGAAGTTTCACGCAAGTTTAAAACCCTGTACTATACATTTCATTAACAAATAATTGACAACGTTGATGTTATCTGTATACTAAGCAGCTATTTAATTCAAGCAAACGCCATCTGATTAATAAACCTTGATTGTGACATCATCTGAAGCCGGCAGGCTTGAAACAAATACATTAGGCATCCTAATTAAATCGAGACTTTTGCACATGTCCAAGACCGCTTAGCTTTGAAATTATCTGTGATAATGAAACTCATGATCAAATTTCAGCGGTGCTCACCATATCTTCCACGTCACTTTTTTGCAAATCAAACAGTTATTGCAAAGATTGAGTGATTTGTTTTAGAGAACTGTATTTCTACTTTTTGATGATTATACTAATTTTTAGAATACCACTTTTTGAAGTCACTGTTAACGACATATAATTCACTATTGCTCGTATTTTTCAATAACACTAAATAACTGTTTCAATATCACTGGAGCTTAAATAAGACTCCGTATTTGACGGTGTCGGTAACAAAATTACAATTCGCAAATGCAGTGAATTGAGCAAGCAATCTTTTTGACAAAAACGGTTTATCGCCGCAATAACAGCACTTATTTGACAATGCAGCAAATACACCCCTCTATGTTTTCAAGCACCTTTCATGGTTCCTTTAGTACCATCAAACTAAAAGCAGCGCTATCTTCTGAATATCTTTGCGCAAATTCTTGCTGTGCCTTTTCTTCTTTATTAAGTAACATTGTTTCAAGTATGAAAATTCATGTTTTTCGAATTTTCACCCTATAGTTTCTCTGCATCTGACGCCTCTAAAATTAAAGATTTCAATTTTTCCAAAATCTGGACATTCACTGAAATGAATTTGTTGATAAATATCAGGGATTCCAAACAATCCCTTTATGATATACAATATACAAGTCAAATGACTTTCTTTCGATATCATTTTGCAGATTTTTTACATGTATACATCGACCGATATGGAAGATCATCCCATTTCTTAGCCAATGATAAGATTCCTTTATATGAAAATAAGCGCGTTTTTTGCACTTTTTAAACACTAACAATGTCCATTAGTACAGGAACATCTTTAATTAGTAGTAATTTATGTCAACATAGTACTAGGCTGACCTTTCCACGGATACCCTCTTGTCAGGGGGGAAAAGCTTACATGCCCTCATGAGGTTGTCAACTATGCTGGCGGTGACATATGCCTCCGATAGTGCCAGACACGTCTCAACTGAAGGATCAGACAAAGTGTGTTCACGGGCAGGATAGGCTCGTTAGTCTTCGGACAACTATCCTGGAAAGACAACTCTAATCTCCAAGCCGGGCAAATGGAGCTCATTTAGCCCTGTAAGGCCATCCATCTCAGAGAAGGATACTCTAACTAAACCTACGTTCTAAGGACTTCGTTGGCACCACCCAACTCGCTAAGCCCTAGAAGATGAACTTTAGGAGCAAAGGGTGGGACCAATTCCGCGTGCGTTACGCTTCACCTAAAAAATCTATCGCGCAGGCTCGAAGGATCCACCCACTTTTTAGAGCCCTCCAGCGACAGACAAAGGGCGAAACGGCAGGTGATAGGATACACTGGAAGCCGCAAATCTAACCCTGCATGCAGGCGGTTCAGGACACTGGTCGCTCGAGATTAACCCTGGGAATGACAGTCTTGTTCGACAGCATACTGAATGACTAAGCAGCCTTTTTCAAGGAAAACAAAGTTTGCTCCATGCGGAGAGGGGCCTAAAAAAAGGCCTAACTAAAACCATCTCCATCTCCATCCGGATGGCTAATTTCAGCCAACGCGCATCTTCTGACGCGGTCGAACAAAGACAAAAGCTGCCTCCAAAGGTGTACACAAATTGATACTCACGTGCTGGAACATCAGAACCATGCTTGATAATGCAAATAATGGACGTCCTGAATGTCATTCTGCTCTAATTGCTCACGAACTGTCGCAACTCAACATCGACATTGTTGCTCTCAGTGAAGTTCGTCTTACACACTCTAATGATTAAGAAAACCCGAAATCGAAAGTCACCTTTCAGGAGTTAGCTTCATGGTTAAAAAGTCCATCGCTTCTAAACTCGAAAATCCGCCGACAGATCATTCCGATCACGCCTCCCACTACACAACAAGCAACAAGTTCTCTCATGCTCCAATTCTGCAAACTGACCTTGTGGAAAAAAAAAAAACAGATTCTATACCAATCTATGCCGTTTTATCCAAAAGGTTCCTTCATATGACAAGGTTATAATCTTTGGTGACCTCAACGCTAGAGTAGAAAAGAATT